AAAACCCGGGACGCCCGGGACAGGACGTGAAATATGGATATGTCCCGGAAAATACGGACGTTTGGTCATCCTAATTAAATGGGACTAACAAGCTAACACGATAATAAGCCACAGCAATTAATTGAAACAACTTGGATTTCAACATTAAATGTTGGTTCTACCTGTTCCAGACACTTGTTCTGTATTTTTTTCTGATTTTGACATTAGATAACTTTAAATTAATTTCAGATGATTATAGAAGCAAACGCTGACAGTGAATGCTGCAGGATGAATAAAATCCACCAGTAAAACAAACATCAGATCTGTTCTCAGCACTTTGATCTTTTATGAATTAGTGCGGCCTACGGTTCTACTTCTCTGATTGGCTGCCTGGATTTAAATTAGTTGGATAGGAATCATTTGAAAAGTCATGCTTAGTGTGAGAATACGGAGTTCCAGAAAGTGCTAAAAAACTGCTTAGGACATTGAATACTGCCTGACCTAAAAAGCTACATTTAATGACCAGAAAGAGCATAGATTTTTTCCTTTTCTTGTTTAGTGACACCTGTTAAAGAAATGCCTTAATTACGCCGGTCTGACTTTTAAAAATGTGGGGGTTTTTTCGTGGGTTTTAAACCAAATGCCTGGTAACAGGGCCCTTTTAGCTTACCTTGTGTAGTGTATTGATCATGTAGTGGGAAAAAGTATTCAACTATTCATCCTAGTTAAATAAACAGAGATCGATGGATTTCACTCAGTCGGGGACATTTATTCATATCTTTGCAAAGAGAGAACAGTTCATCATACAGCCCTAATGGCACAGCATTCTGCCCTGTTCTGCTAGAGCAGCGTTCGTTCCTCCTTACTTACAACAATTGAAAAGTAGTCAGAGTCAAACAAATTACAAACACTTTGGTTAAACAGTAACATGTTATGAATAAACCTTCAAAAAGAATCTGATTTGTTATGGGAAGAAGCTATGTCTGGTCTATAAACACCACCCTGTAGAGAATTGTGTGGCCTTCAAGGTGAAACAGACTGAGTGAAAACTTTTATAGGTAGTAAATTGGATAAATTATTATATAATAGAAGAGAAATCAAAATTTTCCGACAACATGGCCGAGTTGAAGAAGGACAACAGTGGCTTTGGAGGGAAATGGTGGCCGTGTGTTGGATTGGTGTTGGTTAAGTGGTGCCCTGCCATCCAGCCTCACCTCAGCGAGTTCCCCTGTTCTCTGCTTTGGTGAGAGAGTACCTGGTACCTGTTCTGGAAGCAGCTCCATTTTCTTTAGGATATTATTAAGGTGAGAGTTACCTCAGCACTGCTTCACTGGAAAACAGTTTAAAGCTTTGACAGAACTACTGCTAGTTTTCCCAGTCAGACTTTCAGACTGGTCTGGAACTGAAACCAGTAAGATTTTCCCCTCCACCAGAGCTTTAGTCTTCCCGCGCTACTTGCTGGGATTATTTCCTGCTACATTCATCCTCCCAGATTAGATGTTCTTCATCCTCCTCCTCATCATCACATCCTT